TTCAGCTGATCACCACAAGCATATGAGGAAACTACCGGGGAGGCCGGCCAAGAAAGATTAAAGGGAACTATAACAGGTATTCACACTCAGCCAGGAATAATACCTGCTTCAGTCAGACTGAAAAATTTCCTGATTCACAGGGCATAGGGTTCGGTGATCAGAGAATTCTCGCCTCAGTAGGGGGCATAGTTAGCCCTAGAATGAGCACTGCTCTGATTCCTTCTAGCAATCTTAAAAGCAAGATGTGAAAAGGGTTACATCATTTCCAAGTAATTGACCCACATCCCAGAACAAAGCTGAATAATATTTATAGAAACAGAAATATATTCAGGTCACAACTGGCAAAATTCACAATAACTGGCATCCAATAAAAGTTGGTAGGCATAGAAAGCAGCAGGAAAATGTGATCCATAATTAAGGAAAAAAAACAATGGAAACTGACCCAGCCACAGAACCCATATGCTGGCTGAACCTGCTTCTCTTCGCTTCCTTCGTTGGCTGCATTGGCTAAGATGGCCCTGCTCCCATATCCTAATTTAAGCAGTGACCAGGTCAGTCTCCCTCCTCACACAAGATAGTTATTGGTCCCCTGCCTCATCTGCAGGAACTCAGCTCCTGGTGCTCCAGGAGCTTCAGTGGTACTGGGCATTCAGTTTCTGCTCCACTACTGATTCCCAGAAGTAGTTTTCTTGCTTTTGAACATAGTTACGTCTTTTTAGTTTTCCATTTTTCCATCTTAATTCAATGCTATGTGTTTGGAGCCCACGGGAAGCTTCAGAAGGTGGCCTCACCATACCATCTCAACTGGAAGTCCCTACCCATTATTTCCTGAAACTCCTACCTTGCTTTCAATAACACTGCTCTCTCTCGGTTTTCCTCTCACTTCTCAGATCAGTGCCTTTCTTTCTCTGAATCATCCTTCTCAGCTTACCCACTGAGTGTGTGGACCTTTAAAGGCTCTGTTATCTCCTTACTCTATTAAAGGTTTAATCTGAGGCTCTATAGGTCTGTGATCCCCTGAAACTTTACAAAAATTCTAAAGTTTTTCCAGTGAGTAAAAAAGTTCAAAATGAGAAAAAAGAGAGGGAAAAGGAGGGTGAAAAAAGAAACAAGAAACAAAAAAATGAAGAAAAAATTTTACAAAAATTAAAAATGATATTGAAAGCTACATTTAATTTTTATTTTTATAAAGCCCACTGATAGGATGTTTATAATAAATACAATTCTTCAGTTATTTAGAAGTAACTCTGGGGGTGTGGCAAGCTATGTTTGAAAACAGGTAATATTCTTTAGAAGTCCATTCAGCAAATGAGAAATGTAATCGGGCCCCGGAAGTGATGATGGTAGGATAAAGCCTATAGAATTGAACTGCGTTGGTTAAATGAAGGGCAAATAATGGGTTGAGTGTGTGTCTCCCATTGGTTATGGGTGCAAATTTGATGGTGCCCATGAGTTTGTGGGTGTTTTCAATCATCAGATGTTCAGGTAGTGTTTTTCATTGGGTATGTCCAGATGAATGAGACAGGGTCTGCCTTCATTGAGCTTACGATTTCATCTTTTCATTTCTCCTTATTTATTTTAACTCTGCTCCTTTCCTCTCCAAAGGAAGTTGCCTGAATGTGACAATCCAAGAAGGCATAGAAGATTCGTGATGAAACAAGGCATAAGGATGCCTTGTATAGTTTGTTTGTAACATCATCAAGAAGTTCTCATTTGAGACCAAACCCTAAAGAGGAATGTTGCAGGGTGGTTTGTTTTGTTCTTTTTTTCCTTCTTGCAAGCTAACCAGATCATTATCCCTGCTAATTGGGCAGAGCAGTACAAATTAGCCAAAGGGGAAAAAATCAAGGAAAAGTGGGTACATTCCCCTAAACACCTTCCTGCTCTCTGATCATCTATAAGAGCTTGTTTTAGAATTAGAGGTCAGAAGGGTTTGGGGCTAGGGAAACAAAGTTTGTATATAAATAAACTAGGCCCCTCTTTTACAGAAGAGCAGGTTAAGGGGCTGGTTGACAAAGTGCACAGCGCCAGCTCCTGACATATTAGCTGTGAGATGCTGGGCAAAGAAATTCGCAGTAGTAATAAATATAACTAGCATTTATCGATCGTCTCCAGCGTACCAGGCTCTGGCCCAGGCGATTGCTCCTATACCTCCTGGTCCTCACAACCAGAAAGATCATTTATTTTATAAATTAGGAATCTGGGCCTCAGATATAGTAAGTTGCCAGAGGTCATCCAGCCAATAAGCAGGAGAGCCAGGATTAGAAAGCATTATTAAACACTATTATTAAACACACTGGTGTTTGTTTTACAACATAACTTCAACCCTAACCTACTGCATTGTTTAAAAAAATCTTAGTTTCAGGATCATCAATGTATATCATAAACAACTGTATATTAATGTTGCAAATCTAAAAAGCTGTAAAGCATGGGCATATAGGAATTGTTTCTAATGTGCTTTTTTAAAATAGAAAAGTAAAGTATTATTGATTTGCCATGTGTAGTAGCTTGCCAAAACAATTAAAATAACTGGGCTTTTAAAGGAGATAGTAATTCTTGCACTGTTCTGCACAGAAGGCTGCTGTAATCATTGCAAAGGAAAAGCAAAAGTGTTTTGAAAGTGCAAAGAGATGAAAATGTCAAATATTACAGACATATGAAAGCAAGCTGCTCTTCTATGATAATATGAAATGTATATGAACATACACATCCCCATCTTCATTAAGAGTATGCAACTTGAATAAAACAGTAAAATATAAGTCAAAAGAAATGGAGGGAAAAGGAAAATAACAGAAAGATAAAAGAAAATAGAGAAATTAATCGGCTTTCTTGAAAACGAACAGAGGGAAGGAAGAAGCAAGAAGGAAGGAAGGAAAGAAGAGAGGGACGGAGGAAGGGGGGGAGGAAGGAAAGGGGAAAGAGAGAAGAAAAAGGAAAGGAAGGGGCTATGGAAAATACAAGCACAATTGTTGGGACCAGGCAGTTCTTTAAAGAAGAAACTGGCCATGACCTGCTTAGCATTGAGGCTGGGTGCAGTTTTTGCGACTGTTTAGAGAAAATCTAGCGCTCTCCCTGCCATTAATCTTTCTGAAGAAAGACTTTGTTCTGCACCTGTATAAACAATCCAGATTTTTAAAACCTATATGCTTGCTCCTAATGTGTGAGACTATGTATTTATACTGATAGCCTCGAGTCATCAATAGGCGATGCCAAATGCTGGCCTGAGATCTCCCCTTTACATCTTTTTGCTTCCCCTTCTCTCTTTCTGCTTCCCTCCTTCCCGCACCTAGAGTCAAGTTCAAGTTCAAGCGCTCCCGGAAAGCTAGCTAAGCTTTGTCAAATACACGCTGCGTTTTCCCAGCCCAGAAAAAAACTGGAGACAGCGTCGTTTTTACTCAACTGATGCCAGAAGGAGACCCTCCCCCACCCCCTAACAAAATGACTAATACACCGAGAGAAAAACCTCTGTAAAGCCAGGGCGAGGAAGCGGGACGGGTTGTGTGAAACATCCCCCAAGAGAAAGTCATGGCCTGGGAGATGAAGGTAGAACGATGCCTGAGCGATGAAGTCAGCCCCGTCCAGCCACCTGTTGTGGCACTTCAGGCGCGGAGCCTGGCGCATTTGTTCTGCTGGAGGAGCCTGCGGAGTGAGGCTTGCCCGGCGGCTTTCCGCCCCCTCTGCCCTGGGCTGCCTGCACACCCGTCTGTCCCCTTGCACTTCGCTCAGCTTGGGAACCTGAGGATTTTAGGGGGAAGACAAGTAACCTCCCAAGTCCTGTGTGAAGGCTCAATGAGTATCCGTACCGCAGCTTGATAGATTTTTGATTATTTTGTTGTTTTAGGGGTCTTTTAAAAACCTTCCTAGTGGGCAATCCACACGGCCCCTTAGCCGGGCGACTGGTACACAGCAGGCGTTCCGTAGCTCTGCGTCGGTATCCACCTCCAAAATGAAGCCCACACCCCCAGACCGCGTACTGCAGGGGCCCATCCAGTTAGAAAAGCAGGAGACCCCACGCTGTTTTGTTTTGTTCCCTTTGGGAGGAGCGGCAGGGTGTTTAATTTTTGGTTGGCATGGGACAGGATAATTCTGGGATAATTGTATGTTTTTTGTCCTTTTTCACGTTGGATGATTATGCTGACTTAGCATTCTGCGTCCAGAAGCTCAGTCTTCAACACACAATCTAACCTAGTAATCGATTCCCTAGATTACGGCTCAACTCTGTCTTGTGCATCGTGTCGGTAACAACCAAGATCACACAGGCAGCTCTCGCGGATGCGGCGTCCTGTGGTGCACGGCAGGAGGTTGCTGGAGCGCGCAGAGGCCGGAGGTCTCACCACGGGTTTCGAGGCCATTTCTACCTACCAGCCTGGTGAGTTGGGGCCCCTCACTTAATATCTGTATCTGCGGTTTAGCTTCAAGCTTTGCAAACTGGAGATAATAACATTTAAGTCACAGATGTTTTAAAATGAAACGAACCAGTGTAGATAAAAGGGCTTTGTAGATCCTAAAGAGAGGTCAGAGAAAAAGAGGAGAATGAGAGGTAATTAGCGCATTGTTCAGTGTTGTTTGTTTTGGTTTTACTCTCGTCCGGCGAGGCTTGGATAAGCAATGATACAATGTGAGTGACGAACTTGGAAAATAAGAGTTCTGCTGAAAAAGACTGGGAGCAAAGCAGAGGTCGCTGATCCTGTGGTTTCTAAGTGTGTAGCAATCTTCGTCCTCGCCGAGCTAAGATCAGTTGGGGTGGGAGTGGAAGTGGGGTCAAGGTCCCCTTCTTCACTCTCCCGACACGCACTAAGGGTCCCTGGGTCCGGGGCCCAAATCTCCACCGAGCAGAGACTTCCCCTTCCCCGCCCCCACCAGCAGATCCTCCGTGCGCAGAAAAGCGGTCCCCACCCCTTCCACGCCCCCGCCCCACCTCTCCTCCCCACCCCACCCCCCTTTCCAACGCCCTCTCTCTCCCCTCTCTCTCTCTCTCTTTTTTTTTTTTGCCCGGGGTGGTTTGTTCGGAGCAGTACAGATAAATAGTCCTGTCAAAAGGCGCAGCTCGCGGTCGTGCAGACGCAGCCTGGGCCCAGCGCTGAGTTTTGGGCCCACGCTCTCTGGAGTTAGCGGCAGAGCTCACTCCCGCGGCTCGGTGCTGCGGAACCCTGGTCTCCAGTCCTCCTGAGACCTGGGTTCGGCCCCCGCCTACGCTAAGAGCGGAAGGCAGAGGCTGGGAGACTGGCTTGGGGGGAGGAAGGAGCTTGGGAGTTGGCGTGGGGGACGCAGCGATGTCCACGGGTTCGGTGAGCGACCCGGAGGACATGGAGCTGCGGGGGCTGCAGCGGGGGTACCAGGTCCCCGCCTCCAAGAGGCCGCCCCTGCGCGGCGCAGAGCGCAGCTACATCTCACCCAGTGACAACTCCTCGGCGGAGGAGGAAGACCCCGACGGCGAGGAGGAGCCGTGCGCTCTGGACGCGGCGGGCAGCGCTGGAGGCTGTAAGAGAAAACGGCCCCGCGTAGGTGGGGGCGGCAGCGGCAAGAAGCCCCTCCCGCCCAAGGGCTCCGCGGCCGAGTGCAAGCAGTCGCAGAGGAACGCGGCCAACGCCCGAGAGCGCGCCCGAATGCGCGTGCTGAGCAAAGCCTTCTCAAGGCTCAAGACCAGCCTGCCCTGGGTGCCTCCCGACACCAAGCTTTCTAAACTGGACACGCTCCGACTGGCTTCCAGCTACATCGCCCACCTGCGGCAGCTACTGCAGGAGGACCGCTACGAGAACGGCTACGTTCACCCGGTGAACCTGGTAGGGGCGCCGGGCCCCAGGCCGGGGCGCGGGCCGGGAGATGCCTGGGGCGCTCCTGGGAACCCGGCGGAGCCAGCCCGCTGGGAAGAACCCGAGAAAGGGGTTCTGGTGCGGGTGGTGAGGACGCCAGTGTAGTTTCCCCCAAATCACGGGAGGGGCCAGCCTTGCTTCTGGAGAAGAACTACCCACCCTCTACTTTCATCATTCTGATCCTTATACGTGGGGCTCTGTCCAGTGACACCTATTGGTTAATATTCCACTTACGGGGTGAATCTGGGTTCCATTGTAGAATAAAGGGCAAATCTCCCTCGTGCAACTTTTTTCCAGCTAAGAGTCTGAAAGATTTGGTTGAACAAGCCTTACTTTCTGAAAGGGGGGAAAGACGAGCTCTATTTTAAAAGGCTTTGGATTTTTTTGCAGAATAGCAGAGGTTTCCCCAAAAGGGATCAGTCCGGAAAGTCCCTCTCTGACCTGCCAATTCTTCCGGCTTGAGAGCAGAGGGCTGACGGTGTGCGTGTGTGTGTGTGTGTGTGTGTGTGTGTGTGTGTGCGCGCGCGTGTGCGTGTGTGTGTGTGTGTGTGTGTGTGTGTGTGTGTGTTGGGGCGGAAGGAATTGTATGACAATTCTCCAAGTTTCACGGAATGATGGTAAGGGCACAGTACAGGAGGAAACATGGATGCCCTCCCCCCCATATCACGCAACCAAAACGCAGTAAAACGTAAAACCTAGGTCAGAGAGTAGAAAGGCAAACGTCCAGAACACTATAAAGTCGCTGTTCAAAATCGGGACCGTGACAGGGTCCGCTTAGTCGAGCGGTTTCGGTTTGAGATAGTCGTTTCTCCTCTTACATCAGACGCTCTTCTTGATTTTACAGACGTGGCCATTTGTTGTCTCCGGACGACCCGACTCTGACACCAAAGAAGTTTCCGCCGCCAGCCGACTCTGTGGGACCACGGCTTAGGTCAGACTTGAACTGAACTTACTTATTGGGATTACCGGTTAAACCCGTGCTTGGGGGTCACGGAGAGAAGGGAGACTGCGTGCGAACCCCCAGAATGCGAAGGAAGTTCCACTGGGTTCTCCTAGACACCCCTCCACCCCGAAATCGAACAGGACAGCGGGCGTGGCTGTCGCAGCTGGGCACGCAGGGACCCCGGCTGCCGCGAATCTGGGCAGGGACACTCCACTTCTCCAGAAGGAGCCTGCGGGCTAGTGAGCGCGGACCGGTATCCCACCTCGGACTATAGCGGAGCAGACTAACCCCCACGCTGCCTTCGGAGCCCCGGGCCAAACCGCCCTGGGGGAGCTTCCCGGCTGAACCAGAGACGAATGCAGGACTGGAGATGGCACAGTTCTGCGTAGCGCGCGCCTTTACGGTTAGGCACCGTTAGGACTCTCTCTCCCCGTGACAATCGGCTGCAAAGACACAAGTCTTCCTGGGAACTCACATCGGGCAGGCTTTTAAGTTGCGAAGAGAGGAGAGTGATACCTGGATAGGGTCGGTATCCCACCGGGCAGCGCCCCCCAGGCGGACAGTGGGGAGGGAGCCCTGGCAGCGCCGGAAGCGGTGGTGGCGCGCAGTCCAAAAACACCTGAACCGGGTTTGCCCTAAGCGCTCACCTCCGTACGGCGTCTCTGTTGCGGGAAGACCCCTCACGGCTGCAGACTCCCACCCCTTCCTGACCAGGCTTCGGTCTCCCCCAGCCCCTCCTAGGTGTGATCCACCTTCCGCGCCACCTTCCCAGGCTAGGGTCTCCTTCCTCCACTCCCTCCTCCCACACCTCCTTGCAGAGTCCCCTCCAACTCGTGACTGTCCCCACCTGCCCTCAACTCCCACCCCCGGCACCCCCGCACCCCCGGGACGGGTCGCTCTTCCTGCACACTGTCTCCCTCACCCGCGTTCTTCCTCGCTCTGTGCCGCTGAGCCTAGTTCGGTACCTAGTGACCCTGCCGAGGGGGAACAAACCGCTGCTGAAGGCTGCACTACCACAGTTAATTAGCAAATGTAAATAAACTTATTTTTTTATGAATAATAAAACGCATTGTGAAAAGCGCGTGCCCTGGGGCGTCAGAATGTGGTCTTTGTTGCCCTTTACTGCCTGTCCTGAAAGTTAACTCACAAGTACCCTCCTAGCTCTGGACAGAGATGGGGCACTGTCTGCAGGGTGGAGGTGATCACTTCTGGTTCACTGCCTTTCCAAATGTAACTGTCACTAACTTCTGATGGTTCCTTCTGGAGGCCGGGGTTACTGGAAGGCAAGGCTTGGGGGCTTATGAGGCCCTTAGAGTCTTCCAAGGCTATGTCGAAAGGTATATGCTCTTCAAAATAATATAGGTGCCCATCTCTCATACACAAACGTATGCACACAATGCCTTCTCCAGCCTGAAACACACTCCAGTGTTTACAATTGCCAGCAGTTCAAGAGCCCCCTGCAGTTCACACACCATTGTGAGTGTGTGCATGTGTGTAGGGGCATTTTAGTTTAATGGCAAAGTAAAACTATAATACAAGACACCAATTCCTATTTCAATAGAACTTTCTCTTTTCCCAAATAGTGTTTATATAGGGTCTTTAATGTATACCACCTCATTGTCTTTGTTATTTTCTTCCACTTTCACTGTAAATTTGCAGGATGTAATAACTCAGAAAACCCATCATACACTTTTTTAAATGCTGATTTTTTTAAAGTAACATTCTCTTTGTAGAACATTTAGGAAAGTACGAAGGATAAAACTACATAGATAATTGCCCAGTTTGGGGGGTATCCTTTATCTTATCAAATTGGAAGTCAGTTTTCTTGACTAAGGGGAGCACAGACGCAGCCGTTTAAAGGCGGGAGAGAGGTGGGGCGCATGAATGACTTCCTGTTTTGAACTAAACCAACCCAAAACTCTGGAAAGCTGCTTTCTGACACCATTTTCTTGGGCTTTTGTTTATCCCCAGAGGATTCCGGCCCTCCTAATCCAGGTCTCACCCCGCAGAGCTGGGCTCGGGGTTTACATTAGTTGGTCTCCGTGGCATCAGGCACTCTCTGGTGAAAAACAGAAACAAAACAAAAGCCAAAAACTCAGGAGCACATAGTGACAGCAAACCCTGGTTTAGTCAAAGGCACTTTAGTTGGCCCTAAGTTCTGGGCGGCCAGCTTCTTGGTGGTGGGGTGTCTGCTGGGGTTGAGCTGGGAGTCAAGGTGTTTTCCGAAGCTTCTAGCCAAAGAGGTACTTTTCCAGGAGGAGGCAGCACAGTGGTGCTTTAAGGTGAGTCCGAATGTCTACAGAACCTGCTTGTGATCCAAGCTCTGCTACTCCACAGACTAGTGAGAATATGGAACCTCCCTAAGCCTCGGTTTTCTCATCTCAAAATGGGGTAATAACAATGCCTGCCTGAGAAGATTGTTGTCAGGAAACAATGTGAGAGCAGTATTTAAGCAACCCTTCTCATAGGCAGAGAGCAGGGCCCTAAATGCTCACCATGGAAGGGAAAGGGTAGAGTGCATGCTCTGGCCCAGGGGAAGGTTTTAAGCAGGTGGGGACAGGTCAGGAATCCCATCCAAGACAGTCCATTTTGCAGATGCCTGGATTACAACTGGACAAAAAAGTGTCCCACAAGAGCAGAAACAGAAAAAGAAAAAGACAGGCTATATTTGTAGTGAATACAGGTAAGAACGAGCGTTTGAAAACACAAGGAAATATTAAGGCAACTGCTCATAAATAAAAGAAAAGTATTTAGAATATGTGTTTCTATAACTGTATTCTCTCTGTGCACTTGAGGAGTAAACTCCGATTCCCTGCCCCTGCTCGGCCGCAGCCCTTCCCCGGGGAGGGTCACGTCCAGGCGGGTGCACCCTCCCTGACTCCCAGGTACGTGCTGTCCCCTGCAGCCTCGTTCCTAGTGCCACGTGACAGTCTTACAATTTATAAAAAAGAAAAAACTTTCTCAAGAACTGTTTGCTTCATGGTTTCTGTAGAAAGTCCAATGCCAAGAACTACATTATTTTAAAAAGGAAGAAGAAAGAAAGAAAGAGGCCAATTTCTAGTAAGTCCCATCGAATAGTATTGCTCCAACTTCTCAGCAGAGGTTGCTCTTAGGAGAGGCCTTAAGCACCTTGTACCAGTCATTTGTCTTTTTTTTTTTACTTTAAATTACATTTTATATTCAATATTATTTGTATTAGTTTTAGGTGTATAGCATTGTGGTTAGACAAACACACACTCCACAAAGTGTTCCCCCCGGTACTTCCAGGACCCACCTGGCACCACACAAGGTTGTTGCAATATTACTGACTACATTCCCTCTGCCTTCCTTTCCACCGCCGTGAGGATCCTGTAACTACCAGTTTGTACTTCTTAATTCTGTCACCTTTCCCGACCCATCCCTTTGAACCAGTCTTTTCTTGATCTATTATGACTATCCCGAAACCTCTCTTACTTTTTTTCCCCTTCATCATTTTTCTTTAGGAATGTGGGCTGAAGAAGTAGGAGATGGGACTGAGGGACTGAGGGGTTAAGAGAAAAAAAGAGAAGTAAGCCTGTTCTTACATGTATCTCAATTTTATTGTACCGCTGTGAGAGAGGAGTGGAGGGGGAAAGGTCTAAGAAATATAGTGTAAAAAGTACTAAATAACAAATAAAGTGAGTAAATTGAGAGAATACTCCTTAGGGGGCTTTTTGAGGGACGAAAGCCTTATTATTAGTGATACTGACTCAATCAAAGAGAACAAAAATCCCCTTTCACAGACTCTTCCTAAGATGAATATTTTAAAAGAAATGCTTTCGGCACTGTAATTTTGAAACATTTAGGTGTTTCTCTTGGTGGTGGATGTTGAGTTGACTTTGTGCATATTTTTTTGCTCAGAGCTTCAAGGTACAACTGCACTTTAGCCGGCCTCTCTGAGAGACAGTGAGACCATGGCAATCACAACTTACAGGGCGGATTTCTTTACAGACACAATCCCTGTTGGCCCCCACCCCCACAATAAATGCTTCACACGTTTTTTTAAAAATAGGAAAGACATCTCCTCTGTGTGAAAAAGAACTAAGTGGAATACATCCTATTTTAATAGGTGAAGGTAAATAGTTTGGCTAATACTTTTGAAAAAATGAAAACGGTAACTCAGAGAGTCATTTTAGTACTGTTTAGAAGGGCGGCAAATGGGGAGACTCATTGACTGACTGCTCAGTGCTCACTTCTAGGAAAGGACATAGGAGGTCTGGAGTGGCTTCCCCGGGAAGTAAGCACGTGGCCACTGTCCTCCCTGGGCACCCTGTTTACCCACTAAGGGGAGGCCCGCATGCTCATCTCCGCACTTGCCACTTACTCTTCAGCTCATTCTCCTTTCTGTTCTGCCCTTTGTGTCATTTTTCTTCTCCTTTCCACAACAGTGAAAGATTGGTCCATCGAAATGTTTGGAATCTACGACTCCAAGGAGGGGTAGAAAGTGGCCAGAACCCTAAGTCGATGGGTAGCATGGAAAAGATCGTGATCTTCTGCGTTGGATGTAGCTGGTGGTGGTCTATTCCCACCGTTTTCTAATCTGCATCATGAAGGACTAGTTCTCCTCGGTGAGACAAGACCACCCATCCTTCCTCACAGACTGTTTTCAAAACAGATTAAATGAGACCCTCCTATCAGGCACCTTGGAAATGCTTCATTGATGCCAATTTAAAAAAATTGTATTCTTAATTTTCTTTCCTTTCCTTTGACAGTAGATCAGATGTCCTCAGTCCTTACCTGTGTATTTGACCCATCACTCCCCTGTACCACTTTTATTACCTTTCTCTTTTACGCCATGTCTAATTTTCACATAGAGTTCTTTTTAAACCAAGGAGAAACTTTCACTTAGTTTCCTTTTAAAATAGGAAGATCATAACCCTCAACACCCAAAACTATCCATGGGATAAAAAAACAAGCCCATTTAGGAGTGCAAGGTAGACCAGTGGGTTTGGATATAACAGAGTGCATGAAGAAGTTCACTGATATGATTTCAGGTTCCACAACGCAGCCAAGCTTTCAGAAGCTGTACTTATGTACACCTGGTGTAGTATGGAAGAATGTCCACAATTGGCCATTAAAATACTTTTTCCCTGTACCACTTTATACCTGTGTGAGGCTGACTTTTCTTCACATAGTCTCACCAATGACATGTCACAGCAGAGTGGTGTATAAAACCAGAAATGAGAATCCTGCTCATTTCTATGAAGTCCAATATTAAAGAGATTTACATAAATATAACACTATGCCACTCTTCCCATTAAAATGCTTTGGAACACATAGCTATTTTTATTCAAAATCTATTATGTACATTCACATGTAGTTAGTGTATTCGTTTTTCAAAATAAATTGGTAAATGTTTTTTTTTCAGTTTTGATTTTAAATCCAGTAAATATCAACAGATTAAGCCACATAAGCAGCAATTTTTCAGGGTCCTTCATCATTTTTTAAAGTGTAGAGATTGACCAGAGACAGGAAAAATGTTGGAGACTCTCTGGCCTAGATCATTGCTAGGGCCCTTTTCATTGATAAGATTCCACATTTTCTTAATTTTGTGGCAATCTAGGTAGATCGTGTCTAGGTTGGATATGGGAGCACACATTTGCCCAGAAAGATTTGCTAGAGAGGGTAGGAAGATGGCCCGGGCGGGGCAGCTCTCTTTAGGTGACACCCCTGTTGTCCGGCCAGACCAGCAGCAGGACAGGTGCCTGAACTGCTTTCACAGAGGATGTTCTCAGAAGAATTTCTGTACCACTTTCTATTCTCCCCCATACTCATCTCTACCCCACATTCGTTTCTACGGTGTCCTCTGCAGGCCTTTGTAGCCAAGCCGAACCTGGCTTTCAGGTGAAAGGGAAAGTATT